AACCCCAAGGTCGTTTTGCATCTGTGCTGAGTCTTGCAGTTTGTTCTGTGAAGTCTCTTTTGCGCAATTCCAACTGATTGCACATAAATTCTATTATAACCCCAAGGTCGTTTTGCATCTGTGCAGAGTCTTGCGGTTTGTTCTGTGAAGTCTCTTGTGCGCAATTACAACTGATTGCACATAAATTGTAATATATCTCCGTCATCGAAGATGCCGAGGAAACCAGAGGAGGCTGGTGGTGGAAGTGGGGGCCGCCAAAGACCGCCTGCTGTGCAAGGCCGAAAGCCGACATCTGCGGACCCCGTGTCTGCACGCGGCACTGACACTGGCCGCATAGATGGAGTTGGCGGCGGCAGTGATCGTGCTGTTCTTGGAAAAGCCCCTGCTACGGACAGAGGGCGGGAACGTCTAGGAAGCCTTACAAGTCCCTTGGGGTCTGGCTCACGTGGTCTGCGATCTGGGGGGGTAGTAAAGCTGGAGGAAGGAGGTGGGGACAGGAGTGGTGGCACTACTACCCAGTCGGGCAGCTATCCTGTAACTGTCAAGAAGGAGAGGGATACCGGTGACCTGAAGCCATCGTCGTCGGCGCTGACGACGGCGAGGGTTTCAGCGAGTGAAGCGGCCGGCCGCAATGCCACTCGAAAGGTCAAATTTGCCCCTAAGGTGCCTGCACGAAGGGTGGGGAAACCTCGCGCCGCCACAGGAGCCGCTGCGGAGGAAGACTTCGAAGACCCCGATTTGGCGGCGGAATTCCGGGACCTTCTTAATCAGTCCCAGGAAGCTTTGCTAGACAGAGGGAACCGGCGGCCCTTGCCTGACAAGAAACCGGGAGCTGGACCTGTCCGGGTTGCATTTGGCTTCGGATCGACCATCGCGGGTAGGGCTGGTGGTCCCCACTCTGCTTTTGGTGGCTTTGGTGGGTTTGGTGGCGGGACCAGAGGCAGTTTTCATGGATTTGACACCAAGAAGCATTTCTCCGCCACTGGCGGCGGCGGCGGCGGCGGAGCAGGAGGGGGAGGTGGGGCGTCTTCTGCAAAGCAAGGAACCTTAGCTGCTGCTACTGCTGCTGATGGTACGGTTAGCACGAACACGACTGCCGGTAAAGATGACCTGCTGATCGGCGGGAGTGGGGCAGGGAAGCTGACGAAGATCAAGAAAGACGAAGATTACATAGATTACACTAAGTACTTTCCCACTACGCTGCCCATGAGGAACCCCTTTGAGGATGAAGAGGAGGACGAACTGGAGCCGTTGGAGGAGGGAAGGGAGCGGCCATTCGATGAGAATGCTGTGCCGGCGGCAGACGAGCTCGAACTCAGGAACGAAGGATTAGACGATCGGTTGCTGTTCATTCAGCTGCCCACGTCGTTGCCATTGGCTGCTGCGAGCGATGTTGGGGCGGAGGGGGGAGAGAAGAATCATGGGGAGAATGGAACCCGTGATGCAGGGACAACTGCTATGGCTGGTGGAACTAAGGTGCAGGCAGGCAAGGCCGTCGCGGCTAAGGAGGAAAAGGTGGATGCACCTGGAAAAGGGAGAGTGAAGGGGACTGGATTGGGAGGACTGGCAAATTTGCCTCCAGGGATGATGGGCAAATTGATAATCTATGAGAGCGGTGCAATACAATTCCGGGTTGGGGATGTGCTGATGGATGTGGAAGCCGGATCGCAGTGCAAGTTTCATCAAGAGTTGGTGGCCGTGGATGTGAATGACAGAAAATGCTACTTCTTCGGCGACGTGTCGCAGCGGATGGACTTCTGTCCTAACGTTGACAATCTGCTAGGCAAAGCCTCTGCAAGTTAATCTTGCGCAGGGAGTTGCAGCAGGAGCAGCAGCAGCAGCAGCAGCAGAAGCTGCAGCAGTAGCTGCTGCTTTCCATCAGCTAGCAATCAAGCATTGTAGGATGTGGGGACCAGGGAGGAGTTCCACTTCGTCTCTCCTGGAAGGGGGAGCAGGGACCAGGGAGGAGTTCCATTCCATCTCTCTCTCTCTTTCTCTCTGTCTCTTGTCTGAAGAGAGCCATTTGGAAGGGGACTGTCTCGGTAAGAAAACGGTCCTCCTCCCTCCCATCTTTTGGTACGTATTCTCTCTCTCCCTCTCTCTCTCTCTCTCTCTCTCTCTCTCTCTCTCTCTCTCTCTCTCTCTCTCTCTCTCTCTCTCTCTCTCTCTCTCTCTCTC